CGGTAAAACCTTCACCTCAAATGAGGAGGTCAAAAACCTCCTCGATCAGTTTTCTGCCAGCAAAGACCAAAAATTTTATGAGCGTGGAATTATGCTACTACAAGAAAGATGGCAAAAGGTGTTGGACCAGAACGGTCAATATATAATTTAATAAAGTATTTGTTTATTATACGAAAACCGTCTTTCATTCAAAAAAAAAAACGAAATGACTACAACCCTATAAATAGACGTAGTCCTCGAGTAGATGGTTTTCGCAGGGTGCTACAGTGGTTTATTACTAGCGGAACAGAACACCATAGATCCTAAAAAGTGCCCTAAGACTGTCTGAAAGGAAGGAAATAAATATATGTCTCTTTAACTTCACTCAAAGCCATAGTTAGGTAGTTCAGAAATTAATAACATTTAAAACGAAACGTTACTGAACACCTTCTTATGAACAGGGAATTGACGTTCGTAGGAAACAAAGCTGGATAAAAGCGAATCGCCTACCAAGGCATACTTAATATTCTGATACAAATTGGTATTATAAAAACGTTTAATTTTCTCGAAAAGTGTTAACCGTAGATAGTAACATCCTTACATTGGACGAAAGGAAATAAAATTTTGCACATGATAAACTGACAAAAAAATGGCATATCAATTTACTTTGGAAGTGGTAGATTTCAATGAATTTGAAAAGAACATATTTACGTTAATAGTGGAAATAGTAGAGCACACTTCAATGTGCTTTAGTCTCGGAGATATTCAAAATGGCGCAGAGCACTGTAACATCCTATTTATTGATTTATTGCTAATTTTATGGAAATTGGTGCATTTTAGACAGCAATTGAAGGAATCCGCTTGTTTAGAACACCCTATATGTAGGTATAAAATGGCTAAATGTATATATAAAAAATGACGTTTTTAATAAAGCTATCTATCTATCTACCATCTACCAAACACCATCAGGAAGCTCTACCGAAGGACGAAACGTTGGTTGATTGATAATAAAGACTGATTTTTACTGGAATCGAGTTCTCATAAATTATTTCATTTAAAATTATTAATATTTTGAAATTTTTTTCTTTAATTCATACTCACACATCCGTATCTCCTTTTTTGTTATTAATCTATTAAACAAATGCAACTGTATCGTTTAATGGTATGCTCTTACGTAGTTTTTTTTTGTTACAACTATAAAATTCAGGAAAAATTCGCTTGCTACACTTATTTGATACGCTTAATTGATAATTTACTGTATTGCGTCAGAACTTACACTTTGAGAGAAAAACGTGAAGAATACCGTTAACATTGTTCGATGATGATATTTAGCTACCGCTGTAATAAAGCCATTGCGGTTCAGCGGTCTGTTATTTCGTTGCTCGTTGTGTTGATCGTTTCGCAGAACCCAATTTAAATGATTACACAACGTTGCAACCGATTAAAAAGGCCTACCATTGCATTTCGGAAACTCTCATGAAGCATGCAACGAGAATTTTGTTCATAAGTCTGGCATGTTGAAGGAACATTGACGATTTTATGTCTCACGTATTAAGTATAGGAACTACGTGTGGTTCGTCTCGTTTTGCTTCATGGTAGTCTCTTTTAGAAGAAGATGGGATGCAGAATTACCATTTCAAAGAAATTAATCTCATTTTTTTATACAGTGCGAATGGAACAATGCAAAAAAAATATGAAAATAAAGTAGTAAGTGTATTAATTACTTACTTACACGATGTATTTTACAAAATTACAGGGAAAATATCCCTAGTTTCAGGCACCTAAAGGGTAAACAAAAAATAAGATTCATACCAATTTAAAAAAAAATCGGTTGTCTCTAAACTCGGTTTACTGACGATAGTTGAACGTGACAACGTCATAAGAAAATACTGATGGAATGGTTTTATTTTTCAAAAGAAAATTTTATTTGTTTGATAGATATTTTGTATGGATATAGAGAAGGAGGTAAATGGAAATCACAATTGAATTGATCAAGTTACATTTATTTGTACGTATAAATACAATTATGTCAATTTTTATTTATTTTTTTTTCCAATGTAAATACAAGTATGAATGTGCTTTGAGCAATTGTTTTACAACTTTTATTTACAACTTTTAAACATCATTAAAATTTTTGTAACTCTAGCTTCAATTCGACAATATATCACTGAACATATATTTAATATCGAAAGAATCATTACCTTTATCGCCGCAATTATCGTTGCTATAAACAATTGACACCACATTTACTTTTCACTGCACTTCATACTTGACGAAAACATATAAATGTATTATTGTATAGCAGCTGTCCACGCGGACGCATCGCTCACTCAAGTAGGAGAGAGACAGATGTCGAACGCTGCCAAAAGCGGAGGCCGATTGTGCCTCTTTGTCGCTCGTTCCGCGCTCTCGCTTGCACTTCAAGCCTTAAATGGAACGCCTCAGAGCGAGGTAACGCCACATGAGTCATGTTTTTTCGTGCGTGCAGCCGGCTCCATCGAATTATAAGACGTTGTCACGTCAAAAAAAAAATCTTGAATCGTGCATCTAGCAGGATAGACAATCATAATAATGAGGTCTTCAGCCCGTTCCTGCTTCTAATATCTGCCTAATAGGCCTTCATGTTTGAGAAGGTATTATGCTATTAAGCCATCATCTCTAATATTTTCTATCCGCTGTATTATTAACATCTTCCTACAATAACATACGAATCTTAAACACTAACATTTTGTTCGGATTAGAAAAAGATTATTAAAAGTATATATATATGTTTGGAGAAAGGCTCTCTATGGGTGTGAAACGCAGATGCAGGACGCTACGAAAAAGAGAAAGTGTTATACGTCACTTGGTAACAAACATAGAAAAAAACACATCCTCCAATCCCCTTCCTTGATATACCCTAGAATATTGCTTTTTGTGTGTAAATTGCTAAATATTTCAAACCAAAATAAAAACAAAATGGCGGGCCTTAGACGTCATATAGTGCGCTCAACAAAATAAAAAGACAATACGCATATCATCAATTATGTACTCAAACAGCGTAGTGAACGTTACCTATATGTAGTAGGTATATTGCTACATTTTGTGGAACTCAAAAATGCTCAGCAAAGTCCTTAAGGATATCGATTTGTCGAATTGAATCCACTCTCTACCTAGGTCTACATTGTAGGCATGCAGCCAAATAATATGAGATTCAATGATATCGAAATCGCGATATGCGCCTGACGACGGATTGATATAAAGCTTTTGAGGATTATTTCGTTTTGTTCAGAGGATTTTGAGAGTTCGGTTAATTTAGACGAATAGACGTGGTTAAAAAAAATTTATTTTCTACGTGTTCATCAAATTATGCATTTTCATTCGTGTAATACAAAAACAAAGAAATGTTTAACTGAGCATAGGTTTTTAGTAGACATTTTGCTATTCCTGTGTTTGAAATACGCTGTATACATATACAGTCAAAACCGTTTACAACGACATCTTTTAGAACAACATACCGGTTATATTGACAAAAATCCCAGCTGAATTTTATTAGACCGCTCTTTAAAAAACATTGCTTTTTACGACATACCTCTTTAAGCGACTACATTTAACTGATATTTTCGGAGAATTCTCAGAATATCTACTAGTGAAGCAGAGGAGTTTATTGATGTTGATAACTCTATTGCAATTTGTGCACCAGCGACGGAAGATGATATTGTACAAGAAGTTCAAGTAGAAAATGACGAATAGGAAGGGACTGAAGAACAATTTACGGTGCCAACTTCGAATGATGGCCTCAATGCTCGCAGTGTCTTTAGAAAAATTGTTTTTTTTAATGAACAGTTTCACATGCAGTGAAATTATGACGATACCTTAATTAAAATTCAACATGAACCACAAAGTCCGTAGGTACGCACGACAGAAGTGTTCCAAACAGACTAAAATTACAGATTTTATTAATATAGAAGAATGATAATTACAGTGGATTTCGTTTATTACGATCTCGGTTATAGCGACCATTGTGCTACAGCGACGTCATATGTAAGTCCCTTGGATTTAAAGCATACTTTGGTATAAAATTCATGTGGCTATAGCGACTTCGGATGTAACGCCGAGTTCGGGTGTAGCGACTGTTTTTAATGAATCATTTGTAACAAATCCCTAGCAATCCCATGCAGATATAGCGACCGGAGTCGCTAAAGACACAAAGAGCTTTCTTATCTTTTGTTTACATTTACACAAATAGTCAACAAGTGTGGTGACATTTACCGTTGTTTCTGATTAGCAACTGTGTTTAGTAAACTTTTGAATAAGTGTTACTTCCAGATGTAAATTTAATGTTAAAAAAAGCGAAAATTGTTTCAAAATTGAAAAACAGTGTGTAGTCTGTATCTCCTTTAACTTTGCCTGTAACGACTGCTGGATGTAACGACGAAATTACAGCGGTCCCTTCGTTGTCGTTATACCCGAAATCCACTGTATATNAAATCAGGTTGTTCCGTAAATATGGCTTGGCATTTTTCTGTGCAATATTATTGATGTAAAAATACTCTGAATTTCGAATAATCGCTTACAAAATTACGATGTTTACTTAAGGCCTTAAATAAAGTATTTTTGCGTACTTTATATGTCTTGTAAAGTATAACGTACGCACAGTCGAAATAGAATACAATACTTTATAATAAAGTACTTTATAATAAAGACTAATCTCTTCGATGTCGTTATAACAGATTTTGACTGTAGATATATCTCAAAACCTAAAGGAGCCCGAAACAATGTAATTTTTTTATAAATAAGAATAAAGTCCATTATTGACTCTGTTTAATTGTTACACTTAAAGCTATCGAATATCTACTTTCATTAAAAGCCACCTAATACTTAAATGCTACGGTCAGTGCTGCCTTCAGAATATGTCACGACTAAAAATGCGAACTTTCTTATAACAATACAAGTATATTGTGTATATCAACAGCGCACGTATACCAAACCACCTGCCTCCATGTACATATACATTTAATAAAACGTTACAATATCTTGTTATCGTTTCCGCGACTATTCGTTCAAGTTCAGTGATAGAGGAAACTGTGGTCGACCGGTCAGAGATTGTATTGCTGCAGCACCGTAAGCTTTAAAAAGTAACATAATTTTCTATTGACGAAATAGTTGCGTGTATCAAAAAAAAACTTACAATTATTAACTGTGCTTGACTTCGTGTATGGTGGTTTTTTGTTTGTCATCATTATTAAAATTTCTGGTAAGCGATTTTTCTGTATTGTAAGAATTGTATTGTTATTGACCGCATACCTTTAAGTACAAACCAAAAATAGTTACTTTCACTTATTTTTGTTTTTGAATTGTTTTGTTTTTTTTTTTTCATTTAAATATAACAAAGCAGAAAATAGAAAGCACTTTTTGTTTTTCTTCATTTACAAATTGCTGTTTTAATATGTGACTAATTGAAAATTTCGAATGGTTTGTTTTTACAACGATCAGGGTGACTTCTTTATTGAATGTCAAAGGAAATTTCCAATAGGTAGTTTTGAATTCCTACGTACATACATACATATGATATTATTGTACGTGAATATTTTAAAACAATAATATTTATTAAATTAAATAATCACGAAAGGTCAGCTTTAAAATTGTAACTAACTTCTGATTACATTACAAAACAATAACACTTCGAAGGTTTTACACCTACACAACATTTTACGTAAAATATTCTTCTGATGTCCTATTAAAGCGAAATGTGAATTTATAAGAAAATATTGAATATAGTGATGAGCAAAGTAAGACCAAGACCAAGACTGTTCCATGGTATCAGTTGTGTTTTTTGGGTCTTGTTATTGGTTTTTTTACTTCTAATCCTAGTTTTGGTTTTACTGATATAGTCTCGGTTTTGGTCTCTTGGTCTTACGTGTTAAGTCTTGGTCTTGCTCATTTAATTTGATACGTTTTTTTTATTATTCTTCTATGCACAAATTTTTCTATTTGCGGACACAATAATTAAACTTAGATGCTGAAATTTTCTATAATACATGCGAACTTTTAGAGAAAATAGTGTCGACAGTCACGAAAACAATGATAGACAACTCACCCTTCTCAAATGTATAAATTGGCTCTTTGCCCCAACGAATAAATTGACCTTTTAGCGAATAAAATTGTTCAAAGTTCTTGAAAGAAGTAAAAACTATCGAAAAAAAATTATTTTGTCTCTATATTTGAACCATGTGTTTAAACAGATAGGAACAAAGAACACTTACCTACTCCAAAGGACATTCTTATTGTAGATCCCATTATCAAACAGTGGTAAAGTTTCTTTTTTGTATAATTAGTGTTAAAATCTAATAAAACAAACTGAAAATTTCAAATACTAAAAATGTTTTGTTCCAAGAAAAAAGTGTATTAAAGTAGCTTCAAAAAGGTTAACTCATAAATCCATTGGAAATAGTAATTTTTCGTTTACTCTTGCATATTTGGTCTTCGTATTAGTCTCGATCTTGTTCGATCGGTTTTGATCTTGGTCTTACTAGTATAATGACAATTTTGGTCTTGATAGACTAAAGACTGTAAAACCTGGATGGCCAATTCGCTCATCATTAATTGAATCTTCCAGCATTGTTGCTTTTGTAGGTAATGTTCCAATTAATGTGTTTCACGAAGATCTAACGATTTTATGATTTATTAATATCTGTTAAAAACTCACACGTAAGACGTTTATTTAGATACTAGTAAAAGTAGATTCAGATTCAGTTCAGACTACATTTTCCTATTTGTCCTTTGTATCGAAATATAATAATTTATTTATTGGCTACTGAGATTATGTGTAAACTCAATACCAAGAAATGGAATTATTTTTATCTCCTCTGTCGTTTTATTTCATTAGTCACTTTAATTTTTTATTTATGGTTTATATTAATTTTAATCCTTCGTCTTTATCTCACTTACCTATTCTTTTATTATCTTATAAATATTATTACCTTTATCTTCATTCCTGTATTCATTTTTAGCTTTTGGGAATCTTTCTATTTATTGTAAGCTGTTCCTGATTACATTTCGTACTGCTTTCGGTATATTCACCTAACACTAATCCATGTCCTTTTTCTTCTTATCACTGCTATCTATTTTCATAAAATTTATTATCTGAATTATCTTCTTAGCATATTTACTTTCGTATTTTGTTAATACCATTGGTATAAATACGTATTTTTAGATTATTTTCTTTAGATAATGAAAACTTCACTTTTTTAACTATTTATTGTTTGCTATTAAATGCTGTGCTTTATTTTGTAGGTATAAAAGTTAAATCCTACGATAGAAAAACTTTGTTATTAAAAAGTTTAATTCAATAAAGTTTACAACGTTGACAGAAATACTTAACACTAGATTATTCTTATACTATGATAGGCTGCTGCTTCGAAGGTTGGATCTCTTATTTAAAACCTGCCTTCTATTTAATAATTATTACCTAGAAAGGGTGGACAACGTCTTCTAATTAACTTTGGCAGTTATCAAAACTATCTTTAATGGTTATTGATTAAAAAAGGTTGAATACTTCTAGCAATTATCCAAAGAATGCTTTTATGTTAAAAGGACAAAAAATGCAGTATCCATTAACGTCGCCGGTTGGTCCATTCTTTGGTGGTTCGAAAGGGTTGGTTATCAAACATGATTTACCTACAAGGGTACTTTTCTAATATGTAGTGGATACATAAGGGGTAAATTAAGTGCTCTATGACTTATTGAATTACTTCTATCGTAAAAATGTTATGTGAGAGAAATCGACTTCAAAAATTTCCAAACAAATACTGTTTTCATTTTTAACGAAGATAAAAAGTCAAAATGTCACTCAAGTTTCAGCTTGTAGCTTTCTTTAAAAAGTTATCTAGTCATGAAGCTGGCACAATGTAGTGGCCAAAAGGGTTCTTAGAGTTAATTTGGTGCCATGGTCAAAAATTAGGAGCTCATAATTTGTGTTTGTTGATTTTATACTAATTATTTTTTATTTTAATGTTATGCACCTCTTGAAGGTTACAATAAGGTTAGTTAGTTAGATCTACCTAAAGTAACTATAACTTAACCTTCAAGTAAAAAATCAATAAACACAAATTATGCGCCCTTCGGTCCTAATTTTTGGCCACTTTATGTCAACTTCGTGCTTAATCTAAATTAATAAATAATGATCTAAAATCTACAAATTGAAATTACAAAAGTTATATTCAGCTCCATCCGTAAGGTATTTAATTATCACATTTCCTGCGATAGATTCTCAAAGCTTTCCTACATGGCATATGCAAAAGCTAAATGGAAAACATTGTGCTGTTCTGTAGGTATTCTCACATTTTCGTCATACTTTGTTCTCAGGCAGCTTATTTATGAAGTCCAGATTTTAGGAAACCTAAAGAATTGTTTCTGGATCCGTTCCTGTAATACGGTTTAGGAAACAATAAAGTAATAAATACCCATTATTATTACAAAACAAAAATGAAATGTTAATAGGTTGATTTTATTTTGCGTTAGAAATAATAATATTTTGCCGACAGTCCGAGAACAGAAACCGGAAATCAAGTAGATATAAAAAACTAATTCATTAACAAGTCCATATACAAATGATAATTTAAATTCCGATGGCGCTTTAAGCGTTTTAGACAATAAAACTCAAAAGTGTACACGTGTCAAGGTACTGATTGTGAGTGCATTCGCAATTTTAATTATACTTGTAATTATAATAGTAGTTTTTATGTTATTCCTCTATAGTACCTACTTGCATTATGTTGGGGAAATTTGCACAATTTATAAAAATATAAATGATACATAAGACCGTGTTGGTTGTTAATCATGTCATCATCATCATAAGGTCATCAGTCCTAAGACTGGTTGGACACGTACCTCCACTCTTTCCTATCCTGAGCTGAACTTCGCATTTCCCTAAAACTAGAACAGCCCACATCCTTAACTATTTGCGAACAGTAATCTAATCTAGGTCTACCTCTACC